CTCTTATGAGTGCTGCACAACAAAGTTGATCATTGGCTTGTCAGGTCCTCATGACCAAGAGGCTTAATGCACCAACAGGCCCACTCTTCTGTGCCAGGGTTCCAGACCGCGACCGCATTTTTTATGTTTGTTTTTTGAGTGTGCAAGTTAAAATTTCAAGTGGTTGCATTTGTGCAAGTAAATCATGAAGCTGTTTTGGTGTCGCTCCAGCTGGCGTGAGCAGCTACTGCGTTAGCTATATTGGTGGAAAGTTGTACTTTAAGAGCTTCAGTGGCTCTGTCGGTCTGTCCCTGCCTGATGTGTAAACCACACTGTTTAGCTGTTGTGTGTTCCAAAGATAAAGGCGGCTGGTGGAGAAGGACAGGTCGTCTTGGACAATTTTTACATTAGGGTACCCTATTTAATTCTTTTCAAAGTAGTTTTTGGTCACACACCTGTCTGAGCACACTGTAGCAGGTACAGCAGCCTGCACGGTGAGGCGTTTAGGGAACACTGGTGAATTTAGGGTCTGTTGATAAGCAGGTGTTCAGCAGGTGAGGAGTGAGGCCATGATATGGTGCAAGTGTTACCAGTGGAAAAGTTAGTCTTGAGCTATGCTCTATCATCTTTCTTCGCCTGCGCAACCACAGATTATGCCTTGTGCTAATTAGAATAGCAGGTACAGGTGTTGTAATGGTTAGCACTGTCCATATTTTGAAGGTCCTTTGGCCATTCTGCATGGACTTTGCATGTTCTCCCTGTGCCTGTGTGGGTTTTACTGGGTTCCCCCCACACTCCAAAGACATGCTTTGGTTAATTGGTGATTCTAAATTGTCCGTAGGTGTGAATGTGAGTGCGCCCTGTTATCTGTCTCTGTGTTGCTCTGTGATGGACTGGTGACCTGTCCAGGGTGTACTCTGCCTTTGCTCAATGACTATATTTGTCTTCTGTTAAGATAAGCATTCCATTACCCTTACACTTTCAAAGCTGATTATTATAAAGGTACTCCGATATTCATTGCCAGCGCTCATTTGCTTTCTGTTCCTTCTCTTCTATGATTCGGTGCCTGGAATGGCTAACCAGTGCAAGCAGAGATGAGCCTCTGTTTAACACACACTCTGTGAAGGCCTATCCAGACCTTGGTTTGCTTGTCTCCACATCCCATGCCAGCGCTGTGGTCACTCCCCTAAGCTACACAACCTGTTCCTTCTGCTCATCCTCCACAGCATATGAACATTTCCTCTGCCTGTAAGCCATCAATTATTGTTTAACGGTCATGATTAGTTTATATGACACATAATCCATGACTACGTATAATTGGGGCACGGTTTCATGTCAGTTCATGAAGGTTGCACACAAATTCAAAGGAGATGCATCATGATTGACGGCACTTATAGCTTCTTATCTCGTGTAGTCTATTTCTTTTGTATCAAGTCACTCTAATAGTGCCTTGTCATAAGTTAATCTGTTTGCATTCAGCATGCTGGTGACTATGCATTCAGATGAGAAGGCTGTGCGTGCTTGCATGAATTCTAAGGAAATGTGACATGCTTGTCGCTACACATAGCCTAATTTCGCTTCATTTCAAGGCGACGCTGCTCATCTGCTCTCTTCGGGAGCCCAGGTTTGAGGGTTAGTGATGTCAGAGACTGTCTGTGTCACGCTTGCTCAGATTGTTTGAGGGCATCACTCGAACAGAGTCACTGCCAGACAAGTCTTTCTGAAATAAATGGTTAAATCTGACAAACATCCTGTCTGAAATGGAGCTTTGGCTAAGTTCAGACAGGCATAAAGTCAGGGAGTCACAAGGTCTTTTTTGATGCAGTCGTCCAGCCCACCCACTTAGAACTGTCCCTTCACATACGCAAATCTTCCTCTCGTCCCCAGCATCCTCCTTTTTAAAGGTTCAATATCATAACTTTTACAATTTTACAAAGACTGCTGCAGCACACCTCTCTGCATCTACTCTGTCCAGTCAGTGGCAGAGAGGACGAGAACGAGGAGCCAGCTGGGAGCAGTGCACATCCTGGTATGACATCCCAACAAGCTGTAAACCTGAACAGCTCATTCAGAGACACACCTTCTGTGGAGGAAGGAAGAATGTGTGGAATATTTATTTTTTTTCCTTATTTGTGGGACTGTAGAACACGAATGAATAACAAAGAAGAACAAATAAAATTGAATTGAAATGGTTCGTAGTTGTATCCTAAAACTATGTAAACTGGATTTTGTATACTAAGGACCATTTCCGTTGGTCTCCTTGTTTCCTGGTATTCATTTAAACATTGCGACTCTCAGGCTCTGTTGGAAGGTTTGTGATCTCAGGGACTGTCTGACTGTCATGCTCGCTCAGATTGTTCCAGAGCAGCACTCGAGCAGAGTTGCCACCAAACACAAATACATGTCATTCTGAAATAAACGGTTAAACCTAACGGAGTGTCCGGTCTGAAGTTCCATTAAATGCTGTCTTATGTATTTTAAATGCGGTAATCTTATGAGCTTTATCAACAATTGAAACAACATTGCTTCAGTAACTGTTACAGATTTTTTGAGTTTATTTATTTATTTAATTATTTTATCAATTGAAGGTTACATAAATATGATAGGGTGACCAAACGTCCTGTTTTCCTGGGACATGTCCTGTTTTCACTTTCTGTCCTGGTTGTTTTTTTTTTTGTTTGTTTTTTATAAAGTGATGAAAATGTCCTGGTCCTGTCCTGGAGGAGGCATACTTTAAATGTACTGAAATTATAAGGCATCTGTCCTGGTTTTCCGTAATCAAAATATGGTTACCCTAAAATAAGAAGGGGGAACAATAACAAGACATTGTGCCACCCCAATGTAAATAATACTCCTAGTCTGGTCACCCCTACCTTAACTTAGTGTTGTTGAAGGGAGAAACAAAAGTACCTTTTTATTTATTTTTTTCTTTACTACTTTTTAATTTGTAAAATTTTACCATTTGAGAGAGCAGTGTGATTGTGAGGCACATTTCCAGCCTTTGTGCCAAGTCAAGCTTTTTCTAGCTTCACCTTTACCATAAAAACATGGGTGTTATCAAAATTTCTGATCCAGTGTGGTTTATAATTTACTCTTTACATTTCAGGTTCTTTTACAACATGCATACCTAACTACTCAAACTTATCTGTCAAAAAAAAGAAAAACTTAATAAAACTCCAATGCATTTTGCTGCATCATGCTTCATTCACTGTAAATAAAAGCATCTGAACAAGAACCAGAACTTGAGTGAATGAATGGACAACTGCTGCAGTGCTTCAGAGCAAACCAAAATAATGACAACCAGCGTCCAGAAATTTTCTGCTCTGCTGTTGTCACCGCAATCATTTCGCGGTTGGTGTAAAACTGTAATGTTTTTGAAAAGCCATTATCCTGGTGAAGTTTGTGCACTGCAATGCATCAGAGCCTGGAGAAAGACAGGGAACACTTTACTGGAACTGGACAAATGGTCCAAGAAAGTGAGCAAATTGTTTGAAATTATAGCTTCAGCTAGAAACCTTTTTTTTCTTTTTTCTTTTTTTTTTGACTGCTCAGGAAACTCTCCTGAAAAATGTTAACTACAGGACTGACAATTACTTGTCCAATTAATATTTTCTTTTGTCCCTGTCATGACTGATGTGCCTTGACTCATCTTACAAAAGCCTGTTTTGAACCTCCACAAGAAGCTCAAAAGCCTTTTTATTTCCTGCCCTTTCACACTGTGGGAGCAATTATGCTACTTCCATTTCATCTGGCCTTTGAATCCACACTTCACATCTTCTGCGCCCAGATGACAGGATGTTGATGAGGAGTTTGAGGGCAATTTCAGAAGTCTGTCTGAACAGTATTGTTTCCTGAAAGATTGCTGACAGCTGGTCCATGCAGCGGGTTCTATGTGGCCTTGGGTCCCCAATTCTGTAAAAGTGAGAGCGGTGGGGAAACAGTTGGATTCTGAAACTTTGTCCCTCTTTGAGAAGCAAACTGTTTAGAATATATATATATATATAAGTGATTATTCTTCTTCAAGCACTTAATATTCATCTTCATTTGCATACTTCTGTGAGGATTTCAAATTAATTCCCTGCTTGGCATTGAAACGACAAATATTATCTTTTATTGTGGGCATAACGTATTTATGGCTTTGTTTATGACTGAGAGGTTTGGCTGGCATAAAGAGAACTACTTGTAATGACCCTCATTAAATTGGGCTGCACAGAATATTGGGTGTAATTTTAGAGTGTGCAGACTTGTGTTCTTTTGTACAACACATAGCCCATGTGTGCATGTTACAGGCTCCTATCCATGTACAGCTTCTGGTATTGAATTTAAGTCTGTTCGGTTCACTGTAATAGCTTATGCCTGATTTCAGTTACATAATATGACATCACCTTCTAAAAAATAACACTTTCACTGATAACTTTAGGGTTGCCAGGTTGTGAAGAATTCTTTGGACTATTCTGATTATCTCTGAATTATTATTATTAGATCTTATTACCTCTTACCACGGCAGATCTGGTGATTAAACCCCTTTATTATAACTTATTAACATTTTTAAATGAACATGCAGTGACTTAGAAAATGTGAGAATGTATTACTGAGAATATAATTACCTACATTAAATAAAAAAGGATATTTCAGCAAATGGGATTTTCTAGCATGGCAACGCAGGATTTGTGTTGAACTGATGGCTTTTAGTTAATCTATACAGCATTACTAAGTTATCTCAGAAGCATTAATGAAGCTATTAGTGAGAACAAGCTTTTCACAAAGGGTGCTTTTTATGAATTGGTGGATATGATGTAAAAAGAATAACATCCATAACAGCTCATTGATTTCATTACGTTTTGCTTCTCTCTTGGTAATTTCATGTATTTGATAAAGGGAAGTAAAATTCAACAGTACAAGTTTCTTGGTGCAGCGTAGTCTACTTATGCTCGAGGATGATTTTAAGAATCAGCTCTTTTTCAATTTGTCAAGCTCTCTCCTGATGGTCTTTGTGTTTCTTCCCCTACCTCCATGTTCAGGTGGCATCTTCGAGACCCGAGAGAGCGAGTTAGTGAGCATGGATGAGCTCGCTTTTAAGTTCGCTGTAAATAACATAAACCGCAACAAAACCCTGATGCCCAACACCACTCTGACCTACGACATTCAGAGGATCAACCTCTTCGATGGGTTCGAGGCTTCCAGGAGAGGTAGGAAATGACTGCAAGACAGTTTGTGCTATTAATGCAGGTGATGACAACACACTCCTCTCGCTCCATCACTAATATGCCCATGTTAGGGTTTTGTCTGGCTCAGAATGGGCCTTTGGGGGGTGTGACTACACACAACGGTAAGCAAGATTGATCTGCATTCAGTTTGTGTTAGCTTATTTGATAGAAATCTATGCATTAAAAATAAAAATCTGACCATGTAATAAACAAAAATGTCTATTTTGTTAGAGTAAATGAAACCCCAGTTAAGAAAACAGGTTACATTTTTTTTACAATAAAAATAAATAAATAAATTCTCCTCACTTTGGCACTGATTATTTAGCTATGGACTGACTTAAACAAAATTTCCTGTTAGCCAACGCCCTAAAATAGTCACTTCTAGAATTTATCAAAATAAGAATATTTAGATGATTTTGTTTTATTTTAAGGATTACTTTACTTGTTTTCATTTTTAATGATGAATTCATACTGTTAATGCTCCCTTTCCCCACCAGTGTCCAAGATTAGCATAACCACTTTTCTAACACTGAAAGCAACCATGGATAAAGCTTAAATAGATAGTCACCATTTGTCATAAAGTGGTCTAACTTCAGGTGCACCTTGTGTATTTGCGTGCAAGTCACAGAGTTATCCATTAGTTTTTTGGCAATTAACCAGTGATGGTCATTTCAAACTATGTATTTTCCATTGTCCATTGTCATCCTAATGAAAAAATTCTGATGCTTTTCTACCCACATCTTTGTTTTTAATCAGAAGCAGAAATGCAAAGTGGTAGTTTCAGTTTGAGAATTAGCCTCAGCTCTACCATCCTACAACCATCTGCCTCTGCGCTGTCCTTTTCCACCAGTGTGTGACCAGCTTGCTCTCGGGGTGGTTGCAGTGTTCGGCCCCTCTCACAGCTCCTCGGTCAGTGCCGTTCAGTCCATCTGCAATGCTCTGGAAGTCCCTCACATACAGACTCGCTGGAAACACCCGTCAGTGGACAACAAAGACACCTTCTTCATCAATCTGTATCCTGAGTACACCGCCATCGCCAGGGCCATCCTGGACGTAGTCACATTCTTCAAGTGGCGGAAGCTGACGGTGGTTTACGAGGACAGCACGGGTATGGTCTATTAATTGCACTAATCATATAGCTATTGTAACTGATTCGCAAATATTTAAAGGTGGAGTAAGCCATTCCTGAGCAGTGTGTTGACATTTAAACTCTAAAGCCAAACAGACACAGCCCCCTTCCTTCAGTGCTGTTAGAAGACTTTCCCGTTCAGTCATTGATGTACGTTGGCATGGCAACGACACTAACAACAGGGCTAGTGGACCAAAAAAAAAGAAATGTTCCAGGCTTACGGGCATGAAAAGGATGCCTTTTTCCTCATACCTGGGGCAAACAAACATTTAAAAAAAGTCATGAAACAAATGGCATGCAAGCTAGTTGTTCAGTTTTCACCAGTTGACAGAACCATGGAGCCGACTGCAGACACGATTCTTTCCCTGGTGGAGCCGGAGCCAGCGCCTGAGGGGGCCTGCAGGTATGGTTGCAGCACGACGAGACTGGCGGAGAGTGGGAGTCTCAGTCTGTAAAAGTAGAGCCTAGCAGTGCTGAAACTGGCTCCTCGCTTGACATTTCCCCTTGGAAAGAGGGAGAAGAGAAGCTGCTGTCTCTAACACCTGCTGCTGCCAAAAACCTTTCACTGCAAAAAAAAAAACCTTTTTTAAAAAAATAAAAAAAACACACGAACGCCACCGTTGCTGGTTGGCAGGAACAGTTTATGGATTGATTCGAGCCTCTTAGTTGGATTCCCTTTTACAGGGCTATGTACAAATACCACATCTTTTTCAGCGAACAAACACAGAATGAACAACAAGTGAAACCTGAGGAGTAATACAGTAAATTTGACTAAAACTACACTGGATTCGCTTACTCTATCTTTAATAAACATATCATTACATTTCTCAGCCCTTTATAGGGAGGTAAAACAAATATGCAGAAGTAAAGCAGTATGAGGTGACAGCAGATTACGTTTGGATGATGTAAAGTTGACTAAAGGATTCTGACCAGATATATCTATCCATCTATATCTATGTTCTGAACTATTGTTGCCTTTGTAAAATATTACATACAAGAAGTTTTGAGGAAAAAATGTCATGATTGGGGATTTGATGATCAACCAGGTATGTATGTATTTAGGAAGATTTATAGTTTGTTTTGGTACAGGTACAGCAGAAAAATTCAGCTCTGAAATGTGTCACAAACAATACGCAATATTATCTATAAGACCAGGAAAATCCAATATAAATGTTACAATAACTATAATCGTAATATCTTTTATTTCCCACTTTCATTGCTGGTTATCAGCCTTAAAATTGCGTGACATTTGAAATGAAGAAGTGAGAGGGAGAAGAGGTCAGAAGTGCTGCCTTTTTGTTTTCTGGATCATATTTTCATATGTCATGGTTATAATTACAAAATACAGCTCTGCCTACCAGAGTCACCCCCTTCGTGCCGGCCAGTGAACCCAATCTGTGACCGGGCATCAGTGGCTCATATCAAACAGCTGCCAATATTCATGTCCTCTGACTTCACACTGTGAAGAGCCAAACCACAACACTGATGCCATCAAATCCTGTGGTTTCCTATATCGAGTTCCTGTCCACGACCCAGAGAATGTGAAATTCTGTTGCTAAAATGTCACAGATTATAGATTTCCTTACCTGTTATTTTCAGTCAGAAATGCATTTTCCTGAAATGTCACATAGACACACGCCTGCACAATTACGTAAACGCTGTGCACACACATGTACAGGATACAGGAATGTGTTTACAACAGAAGGATGATTATTGTTTGATGGATCGTGTTCTGTATCTGACCTTGACCTCTGACCTGTGCACAGGGGCGGAGGAAGCAAACATTGGGGGATAAATGAGATTTAATTTCTTATTTTTTTAAGGTCTGATGCGGATGCAGGAGCTGATCAAGGCTCCGGCAAAGTTCAACTTGAAGATCAAGATCCGCCAGCTCACCCCGGGTAACCAGGATGCTCGACCGCTGCTTAAGGAGCTGAAGAAGGACAGGGAGTTTTTTATTATCTTTGACTGCTCCTATCGCATGGCTGCAGAGCTCCTCAAACAGGTCTGTACGAGGATTCATCACAGTGTCTTTTTCAACAGTTTGTTCTTTTGTTCTACAGATTTTACAGCACGTTTATGTATCCTGAGAGGGCAGCATGTTTGATGAGACTTTTCCAAATAATGTCTTTTAATGTTGTGGAAAATCATATGAAAACTAGTTCATTTGTTTACTAAGGATTCTATTGTATTTTGTAATATCGTCATTAAATGATCTAATAAAGAGAAGTAGTTGCGTTGCTCTCCTGGATAGCTTAACACTTTTCTTATTATTGTCAGAATTCTAAATGGGCTGCAACTTATTGTCTGTAATGTTTTTTGGTTTGTTTGTTTGTTTGTTTTTTTTCAATTTGGGCAAAGCCTATTTAGCTTAGATGCTGCTGTACATTGATTTCAAAAAGCCTGATGAACTGAACAGATGGGAGAGTCTTGCACCATTAAGGAAGAAGAAAAAGTAATCTGAAATAGCTATTTCTGTTGTCCTGATACTTCACACTAAATTTCTATTCTTTTTTTCCCACCTAAATAATATAAAAGCTACTGTGTGTGACCTTTTTTATGTGTGTGTGTGTATAACATAGTTGATACAGCAGGAACACTGTATATATTATCATCTGAAACAAGCTGTAGCACCGGATAATTTGTCATATTTAAGATAAGTAATACCGCCTGGCATTTTAGTTTATTACTGTATTTCTTCTTTTGATGTTGCAGCTTTCATCGATGGGAATGATGACAGAGTACTACCACTTCTTCTTCACGACTTTGGTGAGTTGGAAAAAGGCACAGCTAAAATTATACCTGACAAAGTAAAACCAAGCTCTGTGTGCTCATCTGGCCTTAAACTGACTTTGTAAATTTACTGCGAATGTTCAAATAAATCAGGTCTTTGATGAGAAAGTTGCACAGTGAACTTGAGCTTAAATATCTATGCTGCACACTCTCGCTCTCTGTTTCTCTTTCTCTCAATTGTACACACAAATAAACACGAACGCATCCGTCTCTCCATCCTGCTCCCCATTTCCACCTCCTGTCTCCTCTTGCAGGATTTGTTTGCCCTGGATCTGGAGCCGTACCGTTACAGCGGGGTCAACATGACGGGCTTCAGACTGTTGAACATTGATGATCCGTGGGTGACCTCTACAATGGACAAATGGGCCATGGAAAGACTGCAGGGTCCAAAACAAGAGAGCGGCCTGATGGATGGAGTCATGACTGTAAGCCTGACAGAAAGACATCTGAGAATCAGTGATGGTTATTTGTATGCTGCTTTCATGCAGCTGTAAACCAAAAACATCTGGCAACCTGTAAATCTCTGGTGAAGTTATACTGCAGATGCTAAAAACGTAAATCCTCAGTTATATTTATTTACCATTCGATCTACATGATATACTGTTTACTTCTTTGGTTGCACCATTTTCCTGGAGTAGATATCATAGTTTCATCTTATTGCATTTCCATCTACAGGACATGATCTCATAATTCAGCTGTTTACAGCCAATGTTTATTTGTGAGATGCTTTTGAGTGCAGTGATAGAAAAAAAAAATCCTCTTCTCCCTGCCTCCTCTGCAGACGGACGCAGCCTTGATGTATGACGCAGTGTTTATGGTTGCCGTTGCGTCCCAGCGAGCCACTCAGATGACCGTCAGCTCCCTGCAGTGCCACCGCCACAAACCTTGGCGCTTCGGACCACGCTTCATGAACCTTTTCAAAGAGGTCAGTGTCGTATATTGTGTTATATTATATATCTATATATATAAAAAAAACAACCCAGCAAAATCCCCAGCACGACCTGAGGAGCTCCTGTTGCTTTTAGCTTGACCACTGTACATTTCTGATGATGCGTTTTAGTGTGTTTTGAAAGGAGCTTTTTTTTTTGAGTGCGAGATCCCTCAAATTTGTAATGCCTCTTTCGCAGACATGAAATTCACCAAAGCTGGGTGTCAGATCATTTCATGCGATATGATATTTTATGGGTCCCTTCTGACAGGCCACGCTCTGCCTCTGAAAGTGCACAACATGAAAATACATGGTATTTATGTACTTATAAGTTGAAAGGATGTGGCCCAGCCTGACTGTCAGACCGGATGCCTACAGACAGAAATGAGGCCTTTGATGCATGAGTGTTTTGATCTCTTAAGTCTTAAATCCAGCAGAGGACTGTTGCCTGCCATGGAGAAGGAACATTATCATTCAGTCCCCTCACTCATATTTTCATCTTCATGCCCCAACCCAACCCCCATCTTCTTGGCGTTTCGGTTTCTTTGCATCTTAGTGTCTCTCTCCTCCTCAGCTTTCCGCTTTGTTTGCCACTGCCCTTCCTTTGAAGCATCTGTCCTCCTGTGCTATTCATCACTCGATAATAGCCTTTTTGATTGCAAGAACCTGTAATATGTCTCACACAACACTCAATTAAAAATCATTTCTTACAAGAGAGCGCAGGCTATGAGGACACATCTTTCATTTCAGTGGCTGAAATTAAATCCCGGGCACTGTAACCTGTGCGTTCTCTCCCTCCCTCTCTCTCTCTTTCTCTCTGGCTATAGTCAATGTGTTTCTGTGGACAAAACTAACTGATTTCCATTTTACATGTGCGGACGCGCCTTTGTTATTCAGTTTATATGATTTCCTGACAGAAAACACAGAATGAGGGTAATATCCTGGATTTTAAATGTTGACATCTTGTATAAATGTTCATTCCTACGATCGCTAAAGGTTTCTCTCAAATTCAACTCATAAGGTAATAATGTCTGCAGAACTTTTTTTTTCTTCATTATGATGCATGAAAAATTCCCAATCATCAGTAACTTTTGTCACTTCTTGCTCTTCATAGCGAGACAAAGATGTTTTATTTTCTCAATTTTTGCATGAGAAATAAAACGTGGCAGTCTTTGTGCTGCAGAATGACTGTGCTCATATTGCTGCCCTCTAATTTTAGCACTTTAATAAATTCCACTTGTTCAGCTTTAGGACTTTCTTGCTCTAAAGGGGAGATCTGGCTTGCAATTCTTCACAAAATAAATCCAGAAAAGGGGAGAGCTGTCATTGAACTTTATTTTCAGTATGCCGTTATGGCAAAATGTTTTTGTTTGTCTAGGAAAATGACACATTTTGTTAAAGATTTTTATCATGAACAGACACAACATTGGGAGGCATGTGCACCATTATGTCTTACTTTTGGTTCATGTAGCTCTTTGTTGTGTTCTTTTGTTCAGTTTGTAAAAATCAAATACAATGATGAGTTTGAAACTTTTACTATCAGTTTTATTTGATTATTTCACATATTGGTATTGTATAGTGTTTTTGTTGTTGTTGTTGTTGTTGTTGCTTCAGAATTAGATTTTTGAACAGCCGTGGACCAAGTAGTGCAAGCACATTATGAAATATAAGTACATCTGACCAGGAAATAACTTTTTGGATACAGAACTGTATATGTTAGACAATATATTATCTATAACCTTATTATAATATTCTTATACCAATACATTGGTATGTTAGTAATGTTCATATATGTCTCCAAACCTTCAAAAAATAGGTTAGCTGCTAAATAATTGTGTAGTCAGATGTGCTATCCATAATGCTGTTGCCCTTCTGGGTCTGTGGCTGGTGATAGACTCCCTCCAGACTCTACAGTCCAAGCACAAAACACAGAAATGGAAAATTAGAATATTGAGTTTTTTTATTTCCATTAAAACTCTAATTCAGAAGCAACAACCCAAACACAATTAAAAATTTAACTGATAGAAAATCACCCCTTTGTGAAGTAATCTCAAAAAATGGATAATGAAAGTTTCAAACCCAGTTTTTGTTGTTGACTCATTTTGGTGGTATGAACCAGACAAAGAACAGCAAAGCATTACACAGACCCATTTAGGAATTGTCAACTGATGACTGATGCCACACAAGGAAACCTTTCCTCCCAGCAGATCACAAAAGTCAACATCCGAAGCACTTTGGTCAGATAAAGTCGAAATTGAGCTCTGTGGAGCAGCATTTGTCAAGCATATAAGGTTGCCTGTGGCACAGGAAACATCGCAAAGATAGAGAGAAGAACGGATTTCATGAAATATCAGCAATTTCTGGATGTAAATGTCATGCAGTCAGTCAATCAGGAAAGGGAAACTGAAAAGAGTCTGGCTAAGAAATATAAGCTGAAGCTTTTGGAACAGCTCTCGCAGTTTACTGACTTGGAGAAAAAAAAGTCTGTGGGTAGATCTTACACATGCTGTGCCTACAAGACATTCGAAAAATATCCCAGAACTTGAAGTGATCTGCAAGGAGGAGCGTCTGAAGTACTAAGTAGTGATTTACAGACTCTCCAAATGATTGCGCAAGGTTGCACATGCTGCAATTATAAAATCACATAGGGATAGAAGGTAACAGTGCGTTGACATTTGAGGATATGCATATTTTGTGAGTTTTCTGCAGGGGTTGTGTTTACTTCTTTTCCCTTCAAAAAATGAAAAAGTAAAGAATTTGCCTCGGGTTATAGGCAACTTTATTTTCAGGTATAATTCCTTTTTTCTCTCTCTATCTCTCTCTCTCTCTTTCTCGCTCAATATCAGAACAAACAAGAAAACTATCATTTTTTTATTCACATATGCTTAGGGTATAAGAAATCAACTTTTTCCTTCTGTATTTTACATGTAATTTGAAGTTTTGTATTGCTTTATGTTATTGTTCCGTGGTAGTTGTTTGTGTTCTTGCCCTGGGCACACAGATGTAAATTAGCTGCTAGCTAACTCCGGTGTGATTACTTTTAATTGTGCACTGTCCCTGCAACAGTACATGATGGAATAATAAAATACTCTGAAAATATGAACTATATGCAGCAAATAAGAAAACAAAACTGCATTGAGGTAGATTAAAGAATAGATGAAGTAGGGGAAGTGCTGATCTATGTTATGTGGTGCAGGATATTTGTTAATGTGCTTGTTGTGAACTTAACTAGCTTTAGAGAAGCTCTTTTAAATGCATCATTTGTTGAAAAAAACAGCATATGATGCAAAGAAGCAGAACTAATGTAAGACAGCATGACTATCGCTGCCATGAACATAAACTTTCACACATACTGAAACTGTACCAAAGAACAACCTGTAGGCATCTTTCACTATTCTCCCGATGTGATCCAGCGAGTCTTCTAGCCGCCTGTCAACATGGACTTCTTCTCGCTGCCAGGATCTCCTCCACTTCTCCTCCTGGGAATCTGTTCTCCAGCTTCAATAAGTCTCTGCGTATGTACAAGGAACTCAGATGGCCTCCCACTTCTCTCTCTTTCTCTGCGTCTCCCTTTTTGTAGGCACAGTGGGACGGACTGACAGGGCACATTGTCCTTAATAAGACAGATGGCCTGAGGAGAGACTTTGATTTGGACATCATCAGCCTCAAAGAGGACGGCACTGCCAGGGTGAGCATAGAGGCCTGGAACAGCCAATTACACCACACTCATGCTGCTTCCACGCTGCCTGATTCATTCCATTAAGACTTGTGTGAGTGTGTGTGTACATATGAAAAACAGACACAGAGCTACTGTAGAGATTTTGTTTATTATAATCCATCCGCACATTTATTATTTAGCTTAGATTTGTCCCGTCATGAATATTAACAATGCTGCAACAAGTGGTTGTTTCTCTCCACGCTGTGCTTCGTGTTGCCCTCTTTGTGATTTCAAAAGGGCATCGTGGAGGGCGGAAGTCGCCTCACGAAAAGGTGGATCAAGGTTTGTGCCAGAGCCCTGTTTGGTCGAAGCCTTTGTTGTTTGCCCCCTTCCTCGCCTTGTTCTCACTCTATATGCTGTGCACCCTCCTGCTCCTTGCCTTGTCAACCTTGTTTCTCTTCACTGATTTTGTGTACAGCAATGCCATGTATTTGACATTTCAGTTTTCCCCCTGTTTGGGTATTGCCACCTTTCTGACAAGTGTCAGAACTTTTTCAGGAGTAGCCCTAAAAAAATATTAAAATCCTTTGTTTAAATAGACATTGCATTGCCTCCATTAGAAGTAAGACGTAAACCCCGCAATTTCACTTAATGTGATGTCATTCTGTTTTTACAGCTGGAGGTTGTGAGTAGTAAGTAAGAAATAAGCAAATAGATCCTTCACTTTTGCAGAGACTTGTCCGCTACTTAGCAGCTATTAGACTGCCGTCATACTTTCATGGAAATCATACAGGATAGCAGGATTTAATTGCAGCCAAGAGGGATCCAGTTAGAGGAAGAGATGACAGCTTAAGTTGTGTTTGAAGACTTGTTATGAAGCAAGCAGATTTCCTTTGCTGGTGTTAGGCCCATGGGCCAGTGCACAAGTTAAATCTCGCTCCAGTGCAGTTGTTAAAGATGTGCATCAAATCATCTTTAGAATTCCAACCAAATAAATCCAAAATAACTTAAAAGAAGTTGAATCTTTAGAGCAAAAATTCCTATCAAGTGACTTGGTTTTTAAAGTTTTATGAGTTTCACAACTCTTAGTTTAGTCTCACAACATATAACTCCTGTAAATACTAAAGTAACAATCCTTGACGTCATACTTTTGCTTATCACCTCGAAACCGATGATTTGATGAGTAGAAGAACAAATGTTGAATTAATTCTTCACCTCAAACACTTTTTTTTTTCTCTTAGAAGTTGGCAAAGTTTCTTCCTCTCCGTCTGCCTCAGTTGTCAGACAGACAGGTGTGTAGGCAGGCGGCAGCTGTCAAGGTGCAGAAGCAGTGATTTCTGCTGTAATTTTAATTCCATTCAGTGCTTTTAGCCCTCAAAAGCCTCCCCTCAGAGGAAATACCACTATATGGTAAGCACATCACAAAAAACGCCTGACTTTATGGTCATGAAAAATGAATTATCAGTCCGTTGCAGTCGTGTTAGTTCTTGGGCACTGGAGTGTTAAATACACTCTGAAGAGGAGGATGAGACTAAACAAAGTGAAAGTCTCCTGAGAAATAAAGTATTTTCTCTTAAAGTTGTTGACTTCTCTGGCAATAATGTGTGTCATCCCCCCCTCCCCATCAGCTTTCTTGGTCTGGCTTAGTGCGTCTCAGGCTCTGTGGTAACGGTTTTCCGGTCTGATTTGGTTCTGGATGAGGATGAGCTTTAGGATTCACAGATAACATTTTACTCACAGCATATGAGAGAGAATTCCTGTCAGTTTTTATAGCACACTGTGTTGTTGGGAACTGCTCTGGTGTGCGTGATAAATTTGCAAGGCTATACACAGTAAATCCATGACTTAGGGGTTTAAAAGATGATGACTGTATGCGTTATGGTCGTCCCAGGCTATATATTTTAGCATTAATTTCATTGACTTTGTCAGATTACCTTATTACCTAAACTTCAAACTGACTAATCATGCAGTTAATATTCACAGTTCACAGTTCAACAACATACAACATGAGCTAGATTCTGTGAAATCACACCATCTGAGAGCAAAATGCTCTCCACACTTCCAAAAATATTGTTCTTACTCCTTCCATTAATCTTTGAGATTGAGGACAATACAATTAATTAAATCCAACCCCCTTTTCGCAGAGTTCCTCATCTGCAGTGTCCAGAGATAAGACAGATTTATGGACTCCTGCACAGAGTGGACTCTTGCAAAAGTGCCACGGTGGAGATATAGAGTGCTTTTAGCAAGGTTATAAGTGAGCACATTTTCCATCTGTCTGACTGGGTTAAGGAATAATAAGGATGGAACGTAATGAAGAGTGAAAAGCATGTTATCTTTTGGAATAGGTAATGCCACATAACCCTTCTCTGGGAAATAAATTGTGAAAAATAAGACTGTACCTTCTGTAGAGCTCGGTTTAATAAGAGGTACTGATGCGTTCACTACTACTCATCCTCTTATGCACGGAATGAATGAACGGGCCATTGTTTCTGAATAAAAACACCAAAATGCATTACTTTTTGTTGGCAGAGTGAATTTGCCAGAGGAGGAAAGCTCGTTTCTGTCGCTGGCTTTAGCCCTATTAACAATGAAGCGTAATCATTTAATGTCCTTGGCTTGATTGCATCACTGTCATGAACTCTCTTGACCTTTGGTTGGCTCTTTAACAGTGAGTGGATTTGAAGGGTCAAAATCCAGCTGCTAAGCGTCGGTCCTAATCTGATAACTGTCTGGATTATACCGCCCGCTCCGACAAATCAGCCGGTCTCATTCACACCACGCTGTCCTCTATCCTCATTGACACTTTCTGATTCCTCCCCTCTTCATTCATGCTGTCCCTGCTGGTGTGATTTCCCTTTCTTCCCCCTTATGTTCATGTAGAGCTGTAATAATTTTTTGTTACGATTTAGTCTGTGGCTTGTTATGATGCTATTACATGATCTGTAAAATGTCAGAAAATATACAAATACAATATAATGAAATTATAGCCAACATGCAAAGACCCTACTATTTTTAGTTTATTATTACATAAGAAATAAACCAGAAAATCCGAATGTGGAATGTAGATCCTAGGAAAAAAATGAATATGTGATGATAAAAGCAAGTTGTGCAGCAATGCTATTTTAAAAGTAAGCTTCTTTCTGCTGTCACTAGTATTTATTTCAGCTTTAGACGATGAGTAAATGCAACAACATCTAATCCAAAGCAGTCATTTATTATAATGGAATTGCTGTCTTTACATTTGTGGTGGAAAAACAGCTTTGTTTCAGGCTGTACATTAAGTTCAGTACCTGCGAGTCAGAGTGATCGCTGCACACAACAGGAGCGATATTGCTTTTCCCTCCAGACTAACTGCAAACATTTACTTGATGCGCAGAGTCTGTTTGGAACAAAATGCTTCTTCATTTTCATATTCACTGTACATTAAAGTTTTCAGCACTTTGCCCAGAATCATCAGAGCAAAGCTCGAGCGAAGAGAAATGTCGTAGAGTAGTGAATAGAGCAAAAAGGTTGAAAAGCAGCCAGGAGCGTCAGGTCTTTTTAACCTTTATACTACTTTTTCATTTTTCTGTTCGCCGAATCAGAAACTGTGATTAATATGCAGCGTGTTGGAGCAGGTTCTAGTTTCCTGTTCAGACTCGGAGACTAAGTAAGCTTCTGTATTTGTTTTCTGAGATTAAAGAAATAATCAATGAGCTTATTTCCTTTAACAGCACAGGTGGCAGCGATCACAAATGATACAAATACAGTCTTTTTCAAAGCTCTCTCAGACATAAACATGTATACGCTGCAGTTTTCTTCAATAGTGACTCCGATAGCAGATGCCAGATGTAATGTCGTGTGTTTTTTTTTCTTTTTCTTTTTTTTTTTTATCAAAGCAGCAAATGTGGTTCAATAAATCTAAAGCCCTGTTTGCCTTCCCAGATTGCTGTGTGGAACTCGTACAAGGGGATGAACCTGACGGAGAAGTCCGGCCGAGACAAGAATAACAATGTGACAGACTCTCTGGCTAACAGGACTCTTATTGTCACCACAATACTGGTGAGGAGGAGGAAGGAGGAAGGTTAAACAGAGGACAGCATAGGGAGAAGGAGGGGAGTACATACGAGATGTGTAGAGCGCAGATAGGGGGAACAATAGAGGAAAACACAATGAATGAATACAGCGGTGTTCAGGAGAGGTTAATGAATTGAATAGTATTTTCACAATTTTGTCTTATTGTCACACCAGGCCTTATAGAAAAAGTGGATTCACATTCATCATGTGTAAATTCAAAGATAAATGGATTTACTTCTCATATTGTCTCTCTTTGAAGAGTCACCAGACTAAAAATAAAAATCCTGCATCCTTTAAGTTCGAGGTTCCTTATTGTGCCCCTTTTCAGCAAATTAATCAAAGTCTCACGTGTCCCCAAAGTCTGTCTTTCTGTTTTCTTCAGCTCAAAAGGCTGCAAAGATGGTTCATTTTTACCATGATTGTTGTTTTAGGGCTGTTCTAAATGGGCAGTTTTACTCTGAAAAGAAATAAGCTGCTGTTGTTCCTGCCCCCTTCAGGAAGGAAACTCTTTGGCTGCATATGTGATTGACAGCATGGAGCTACCAATTGCAGTTTCAGTTGAATGATTGTTAGTTAGTTAGGTTTTACACAGCACCTGGGAGGCTAACTAGTTGTTGGAGGGGTTTGAAGGATGACAGAAGTATTTTTTTTTTAAATATATATCTTAACAGCTTTTGTTTTGCAACTTCAAGTTCATAACACCTCAATGGCACCTTTAATACTAAAACAGCATTTTAAAAATGAATCAAACAAGGAGTATGTCTTGAAAGCAAAAATACTGTGTTTTTCTATTCAGGAAAATCCATATGTGATGGTAAAGAAGTCAGAGAAGGAGTTGATTGGGAATGACCGATATGAGGGCTACTGTCTGGACCTTTTAAAAGAGCTCTCCAACATCTTGGGTTTCACGTATGAAGTCAGGCTGGTTGGTGATGGGAAATATGGAGCCCAGAATGACAAGGGAGAGTGGAACGGGATGGTCCGAGAGCTGATCGACCATGTGAGTTAATAGTTGAAAAGATAAAAAGACATAACATCTCCTCTGCAAATTTTTTCAAGATGGAGATCATTTTGTTCATCGCTTGTAGCTTTTTCACTGTTATTGTTCTGTAGTACTCAGCTTTAACAGTTCATTTAGTATTTGATATATCAAGCTAAAATTTCACAGATACCAGTTTAAATATCTATAGATTGTAGGGGAAAAAAAGCTTTAATCAAATCTGATGACGAGTTGAGACGGAATAGCTGATTGCACCTGGAGTTGCCTTGTCTTACTTTCTGCCTTTCTCAGGTTGCAGACCTTGCTGTGGCTCCTCTCACCATCACATATGTCAGAGAGAAGGTCATCGACTTCTCCAAGCCCTTCATGACTTTAGGTATCAGCATCCTGTACCGGAAACCTAACGGCACCAATCCGGGCGTGTTCTCCTTTCTTAATCCTTTGTCTCCGGACATCTGGATGTATGTGCTGCTGGCCTGCACGGGAGTCAGCTGTGTGCTCTTTGTGATTGCCAGGTGAGAGAATGGATTGATGCCCGTGATGATAAGATGATGCATGATGGAATAGAAGGATATAATATAGGATATATGGTAAATCATAGCTGGTGACTAAACCGTCCATAGGCCTGGTCAGCTTTGCCAGTACAAGATTATTCTACTACTGAGCATTTTAAAACAATACACTTTACTGGTGTATTAAATTCACCCGGCAAGAACCACAAATTGTCATAACTGCACTTCGTCAGCTTTCTGCTTTTTCAAAGCTGCACTAAAACAACCAAAATATATGCTTTTAGCTGTCAGCTGCCACATTGGATTTCATTGTAGTTGTTAAGTAGCTGGAAGTAATTGCAAACTCTCTTCACTTTTCTCTCAAGTAGTGTGTAAAACCCCTGCCAACATGTTGCACCTAGCAACCCGTTAGCAAAAATACATGCCAGAGTCAAAATGCAAATCACAATAGAGCGTAGATCACGGTAGAGAAGAACTGGAGGCGTGAACTGATGTCAAGTGCATGACTAGTGTTCGCTAGTGCCTCAAGATTAGCTACAGTGCCGTCCTTATTTGAATTTCCTTTCATCTCCCTTTCTCTCTATTGTTTTATGATCTTGCAGGTTCACGCCGTACGAGTGGTACAACCCCCATCCATGCAACCCTTCCTCAACTCTGATACAGAACAATTTCACCTTACTCAACAGTTTCTGGTTTGGCGTCGGAGCTCTCATGCGGCAAGGTAATTCACCAATCGTTAAAGTGACAGCATCATGCATATATTAATATTTTCCGTGAATAATACGACCAGTGGTATGAGAAAGCAAGAAAGTTCACCAAATTAACAAGATGACTTGTTTATGCATGAGCTCAACATTGACAGCTAGAACCATTTTTTGAGCTGACCAGTGTACAGTCAGGTCAACATCATTTGACTGTGCATCAGAAAACCTTTAAAAATCACTGTTGAGAGATACTGGAGCTGCTTTATAATGTGGTAACACAATGTTTAGGGTTTGGTCTGTTACAAAAAAGACTTGATTGCGTTTTAGAGAGTTCATTAGTTGGGATTAAATAAGCTAAGGTTTGAGAAACATTATGGTTTGAAAGTGAGGGGGCATTTGTTGTCATGGCTCACAATTATGAACTTGCCTTAAAAAACACAACATTAACTGTCAATTTGAAATAAGTAATCAGGAAAACAATGGTTTCTGTTAAACTCAGATATGTAAAGTCCTTTGCTCACATTGTAATTACTTTGGCCTCTGAGGGACCTTGTCACTCAGACATTAACATACTGCATGTCATTTTGTGACACTTGGTGGAACAGCTGATGTTGTTGCTTTTCTCATGAGTCTCATTTGGTCATAGTGGCAAACCTACAACTTTGTGGTGTTTTTAACTGTTGTGGTTTTCCATCCCATAGCATTTCTTTTCAACTGCAGCAGGCAGATGTTTTTATACCTAAAAAAAAACACCTTGATAACATTGTATGCTTCTTCTTCATCATGCTCTGAGTTATGTGCATTTTCCTGTTGAGGGATCAATATAGTTTATGTTATCTTACTTAAAGCAGAGTCCCATGAAAGAGGGCATCTGGCGTATTACTTGACAATTCTTCTGAAGAAAGGGGACCAATTATGTGTCGCCTGCTTTACTAAAGAGGAACAGATTGCTACAATGGAGAGCTATAAATAATATAAAACTTTATTACACTATAATGTGTTCATACTGCAAATGGTGCGAAAGAGGAATATTGGTAGAGAATCATTAACTGTGTAAGTTAATATATGTATATTTAGCGCTCAGTGCACTTCAATGCAGCTGCTTATTTCTAACTTTAGAGCTCTTCAACTTTTAAAGATTATACACAAGGAGTGCTTTCAGGATTGACACTGTCCCATAATAAATAGTACGTGGACATCAATTTAGCTTTTGGCCAAATCAAAATGAAATGAATGTTATTGATTGAATATTCTCTGTGATAAATACCAACAGAGTAATCAGTTTTCTAATCAGTGTTCCATTTGCTGTAATACCAGCAGGACTTGGCAGCAAATCAGGACCAAAACATAAAAATGTATTTTTTTGCATTTTCAGCTGAATCACCAGCTGAATGCATGTAGTGACAATGTGATACATACAGTTTGTCTACTGTAACTTCATAGCTTTGTGTAGTGGAATTAGTAATGTTTACAGTCATACCCTCAGTAGAGAATCTGTATTGCTCAAAGAGAATATCTGGAAAAGAACTAGTGACCAAATACCAAGTATAATCTCCACCGGAGCACGTTAGCAGTGCAGCATCAGTTATCATGGGGATCTAACTGGTTAAAAGAGAGCCACCTTGGTGACATTGAAAACTCCCCTCACTGACCCATTAATCTCACTTTATAGAACACCCCTCTGAAGAGAGCTAAAAGCAGATTGCATGAAGGACTTAAATGGTCAGGTGGTCAGAGAGAGATGCTCCAAACTCCAGGTTTAAAGGGTTGCTAATAGCAAAGACTACTGACTCAATACTGCAACACTGTCCAGTTCACTCCCTGCACAGCAAAGACTTTACTGACACTGTACACTCTGCTCTAAGCTGTTTAATTCAAAACATCAATATTCGCCTCTTATTTTTCTCTGAATGCCCTTTCCATGTAGCCTGGATCCACTTCCCATGAACTGCAGCCAAACCCTGTTATAAGAATTATGTTGGACTTCATGGAGACTTGATCTCCCACAAGGCAGGAGATTTGGGGAGGATAAGTCCGACATGCCTGATTGGATGACCGGCAAACCTACTGACAATATCCGTCCACAGCAAAATGCCAACAGCAAGCTACATTTGTCAGATTTGTTTGCTGCTCAGAAAGACAACTGTATTCATAAACGAAGACACAAGAAGTTGAAGCCGTATAATTAGATTTATAATCTGTAAATGAGTTTGTTGAATAACAGCATTGTGTCTCTCGCTGCTCCTGTTTTACATCCCATCATTTTATCAAAACAAGCTCAGGTTTTAGTGCATGTACTGTAGGGTAACAGTCTCTACGTCATATTCTGCATTTAGCAGCTTACAGTAACCGTGACCAAGTTGTGGTGCTTATTCTGCTTGTTGAGTCTGATATTTCATTATGGTTTTAGCATGATGATGCAGCGCTTCATTTCCGTTACATTCAGCTTTTTTTTGTGTTTCACATTCAGTTCTTCTGATTTGTACCGTTGTTTGTTTTTTTACACCTGTGTATATATATATATTTTTTTGCAACTTTGTGTGAGAAAAAAGTAATTCTGAGGGCGAAAATAACCACTCCTGCTTGAAGAGCTGTACACTTTATCATTTAGGGCCAGAAGTGAAAGTCCATTTAGAGCTCTGGTGTGAATCACTCTATTACAACAACCCTGTGTGGACCAGAGCACTTTGCTTTGAAAGAATGAAGATGTTTTTTTCCTTTTTTTTTAAAGAGGATCTACACATTGTAAACACACAAAGTGCACCTTTTTTTATCATTCTAGTTGTATCATTCTGATGGGAACTTATTCATTCCTGTATTATGAACAATTTTCTACCTTTTCCACTATTCATTCATAGTCTCTCTCTTTTACCTTTTAAGCTTAACCTTTTGCCTCCCTTTGCTTTGCTTTCAGGCTCGGAGCTGATGCCCAAGGCCTTGTCTACTCGTATAGTTGGGGGTATCTGGTGGTTTTTCACTCTAATCATCATCTCCTCCTATACTGCCAACTTAGCAGCCTTTCTGACCGTGGAACGAATGGACGCACCCATCGACTCGGCAGACGACCTGGCCAAACAGACCAGGATTGAATATGGAGCTGTGAGGGACGGATCCACCATGACATTCTTCAAGGTAAAGCTCCTGTGTGGTCCTTTCAGTGTAACTGCGAATGAATTAGCTAATAGAGTTCATGTTAAGTGTTTATACAGCTGTGAATGTCAAGCAGAGGCCATTGTCAGTGTATTGCAAAATTTTCTGTACTAAATACAAAACTTTTCTGGCATTCATACTTCAACAAAATCGTCTTTTACTCAAACCAAGAGTATACAAATCATATAAACAGATTTGTCTCCAGTAAAACAGTTAATAGTTGTGAAATATTTTCTGGCTGTACCTTGCATTAGATGTAAACCCTGAAAAATCCACCTTTAGCTATGCCATTCCAAATGCAACCTGAGGTGTTTTTAAAACAGTATTTCAAATTTAAAAGAAAGTTTGGTAACACTTTATCATAACTATCTGTTATAACTAGTTAATAGATCATTTGTAAACTGTTAATTAGTGAGTTATTAACCACTTGTTAAGTGTTTGTTAATAGTTTGTTGATGATTTATAACGATGCCTTATAGATAGTTAATAAACCATTTACAAACTGTTAGTTAATGAGTTATAAATGACTTGTTAACTGTATATTAATGATTTACAGCCAT